GCTGTTGTTCTTCAAACCTCATCATAACACAATCTCTTCTTGAATGCATTTACAAACATTGTGTGGAAGAAATAAATGGAGCCTGTGGGGTTTTTTTTATATTTTTACACCACAGCAGAAGGAAAAGCCGATTAAAAGATTTATTCAAATATTTACATGACACACACACACTGTTGCAGCATTAAAACATGAGCTTGCTCCTTTTACAAATCTCTTTAGAAGTTTTTCTCTCCCCTTTGTTCCTAATACAACTTTTAAACGGCAGTCACAAGTTTCAATGATCCCAGCCTGTAATTATGAATCCCCTCTGGTTCTCCTCTTCCTCCCCCTCCAACCCACCATCTCTTATTGAACAGTGTGCACTGGCAGCCCAGGAAGCCACCCAGGTCCTGGCTGCATCACAGCAGGAGTGGACAGGACAAAGAAAGCCTCCACCTGCAGAGCTGCCTCCTGCCCTGGGATCCTCAACACAGGAAGGATGTGGAGCTGCTGGAGCTCCTGAGGAATCCACAGAGATATTCCCAGGAGTGGAGCAGCTCTGCTCTGGAGCCAGGCTGGGAGAGCTGGGGCTGTTCAATGTGGAAATGGGAAGGCTCTGCAGAGACCTCAGAGCCCCTGCCAGTGCCTGAAGGGTTCCAAGAGAGCTGGAGAGGGACTGGGGACAAGGGATGGAATGACATGACAAGATGGAATGGCTTCAAGCTGAAGGAGGGCAGGGTCAGATGGGATACTGGGAAGAAATTCATCCCTGTGAGGGTGGTGAGGCACTGGCACAGCTTGCTCAAAGAAGCTGTGGTGTGGCTGCCTCATCCCTGGAAGTGTTCAGGGCCAGGTTGGATGGGGCTTGGAGCAAAGGGGATTAAAAAAAATCTGGGAAAGCAAAGGTTATATCCCATGGCAGAGGGAACTGGATGAGTTTTAAGGTCCTTTCCAACCCAAACTATTGTGGAACTCTATGATGATTTTATGGATGTTCACACAGGAGGTGTCTAAACCATTTCCTTACTCCCATTACTGCTCCTCACATCCTCCCACACTCAGCCTTGCTCTGCACATCCTCCTTGCAATGTCACCCCATGTAACCTCTAGTCACACATCCTTATGCTTGAACAGTTTGTCAGTGGATGCTACACAGGTACCCTCACATTTCAAACCCCCTGCTTAAAGTTCATCTCCTCCCATTGGCCTGGGAAATAGAGAGTTATGGCTGGCATCCCAAAAAGCATCACAGCCATCGGTACAAGCTGCACATTTCTGGAACCAGGAGTAGCCCTGAGGTGGCCCCAAGGTTATCCCGAGCCTCATCTGCTCTTCCTGTCCTTTCCTCATTTTCTGGCACTCCCAAAGAAATCAGAAAATGGGTATGAGGAGAAATTAAGTCACCTTGTTATTTATATTACTCCATGTATGTCAGATGTCTGAGCTGTACAACAGGACTGAAGTGTTGGGAGGGACCTGCAGCACATCCCCCTGTTCCAAGGCATTTTTGCTGTGTAAAATGGTGCAGTACATTCTCCATGGCCACTGTGGTGCAGTGGAAGGCAACAATTTACCTTCAACACTGGAGACAATTAGGTAGACATATTTACAGAATAAATATGAAGATGTACACAGTTAGCATTCCACAATATTAATTCCTAATGTTCCTGAATGCATTCAAATATCCCATAGCTTGAACAACAGGCATTTTATGCTTCTTATTAAATACAAAGAGATGCAAAGCCACAAAAAAAAATAAAATATTCTGTGTAGAGACATTTAGCTGGTTGTGGCAGAGCTGGGAGAGAACCTAAACCTGATCTATCCTCTTGTGAGTTTTAAATGTGTTACCTTCCCTGCCATCAATGTCCAGTGATCAGTCTAATGAACACGACAACAGAATACTGGCTGGAATACTTTAAAAAACCTTTCCTCATGAGTGGAGCAGACCTGAAATGAGGATCTCAGCTAAAGCCATTCTAAGTCAGCCTGTATTTGTTTCATGTTGACAGTCAGCAGCACCATCATCAATTTTACACCATTTTCATGGACTAGCAAAAGTAATCACTTCTGTTCCTTGACCACCGAAGAAAAGATGTTCTGTGTTAAAATTTATCAAAGCTATGAACTGCAGACATATGGAGCCAAACATCTTAGTTCAAAAGCATTTGATAGATAATATATTACTGCAGAACAATTTATTCTCCCTCTCTGTTGCCAATTGCCACTTTATTTCCTACTCTCCTTGTCCCAGCTTTTCCTTCAGTCCATGTTTCACTGCCATGTCTGGGCTCTGAAGTGCTCCCAGTGATCAGTGGAGACATTCTCTGCCCCAGAAATGCTCTCCTTACCATGGCTCTGGTACTTACACTGTGCTACTACTCTTAATTGATGATTAGTTGATGTAAGAGATGAGTATCAGCACTGTAAAACCCCCAGCTGGGTAAGTTACCAGTTCACTGGGGGAAGCAGGTATTTTTTTCTAGACCTAATCTGGAATAACCAAAACATCAAACACTGTTCAGACTGATAAAGTGCTGAAATCCTGCCAAGGTAAAAAGCTTAGATGAGAAACATAACAAATGTGGCTCTTCAAGAGCTGTATGAATAGCAGAATCTTTCTCCTCTCAATTTCAAATTCAGTTTTATAAAAAATAAACTTTTATGAAAAATTCTTTCACTCACTGTGTGATATGACAGAAGCTTAGTAGCTCAAGTTCCATTGCAAGCTCATAGGATATATCAAACCATCAGCACTAAACAGCAAACAGAACTTGCAGGCACAGAGATGTAAAATTCACCACACTCAGAAAAGATATTCTTGAGGGCAGCAAGGGGAGCCACTTGGAATGAGCAAATTTTCCACCATGCCTTGGTTGTTTTATGGATAAAAGCAGAATTTCTGGTTCACAACACAACAAAACTCCTGACACATGGATGTGAACATGGAAGAACAGCAGGGCTTGATCCTGCACTACTACAGGAAGTTTATCACACTACTACAGGAAGTTTTATCACAAAAGTTCATGATCACACTCTGAATTTCTTGTATTGAGATGATCTCCTCTGTATGAGCAAAAAGTTCATGATCACACTCTGAATTTCTTGTATTGAGATGATCTCCTCTGTATGAGCAGCAACTCATTCAGAGCTCAACTTGAAATATAGGTTTAGTATGGATGCTTTTGTGACTTTTTAAATAAAATAAACCCACCAGGTCACCCAGGCATAATACCACCCTAAAACTTTGACACCAAAATAAATCTCAGAATTCTACAATCAGAATGAAAGAGTTAAAAGAAACAAACAAAAAAAAGGACAGAAAACAAAAGACAAAAGAAAGGATCAGAAGATTTTTAAATACCTAGAATGCTTTTTCAGTATCTGTTTGCATTCTGGATCAAAACCCAGTCAAAACTAACAGAAATAATATATAAGTTGGGGTATAGCAATAAAAATGCATGTTAAGTATCCAATTAACAGACCAAAATACATCAGCTAATTAATAAAGATGCCAAAAAACCCCAGTAACTAAATAACTCCTGAACTGCAAAACACATATTCTGAGAAAATTTTTCCACGCAGTGTTTTCACCACAAAAGAAATGGAGATTGCTTAGTAAGAATTACACTGTAAAAAGCCATCATCACTTGTGGCCTTTCCTGCAGGGCAGCACTTCCCTCTCCCCAAACCTGCTCTCCCCACCTTGCACATGGCACTGAACAGGTGACTCTGAGCAGGAATGGTTTGCAGCCAGCAGATAACAACTGAAGGAAAACACTCTCTCATTTTTCTGTCCCTCCTCACAAAACCAAAGGTTTGGGTACAATTCCTACATCCCTGACAGAAAAGATTAGCTAATGGTAAGCTTTGGATTCATCCAGTAAATCCAGCAGAGAATATACAAGTAAAGGTATGGAAAAAAGGCTGCTGTCAGCAAGTTTGAAAGCTTCAAGTCCTTTCAGATCAGAAGCTGCAGAAAATCAATTTCTACATGAATTTTTATTTTTCCTTTAGAAAAATAAAACTCTGCAGTCAGATTGAGTCAAGCTTACCATCTGCTGCAGAGAGAAATACAGCTATACTCAAGATCACATTATCAAACTTCTTTGTAAACTTTACATGCAAGCTGTTCCTGTCAGAATTGAAGTCATTGTGATAATGCTTCTTAATATTCGTTCAGGCTTTAAATAAAGACTGACAAAAGTCCACATATGGATGACAAGCTGCTCTACTGTAAATATTTTTGTATTTGTTGAGAAGGGGCTTATGGCAGTTTAGGACATATTCCATCAGGAATTTTGGTTCTGAACTATTTACTGACTAATAGAACCAAGATAAAATCCTTGTTCCAAACTCCTCACCAAAATTTAGTTTTAAATTAACTTGATCCCATTCCTACTCCTGCTTAGATATGCTTTTACATCATTATTGCTTAAAAACTTTTCCCAGCTGGTGAATGTTGTAGAATGGAAGATATTTAGTCTTTGAAGCAAGGCTTCAGTCCCAACTGGCAATGGATGTAGCTATATATGGAACAGAAAAAGCAAATATGATGTAATTTTACCATTAGAGCCCACCCTCTAAATCAAAATAAAAATTCTTCCACTTTTTTTGTGCAAATAAACTTGTTAAACTCCTTTCCAGTATTCCTGTAAATGTGTGGATATAGCATAAAAATCCTTCAAAAATTCCTTTCCCACATCCTCCAGTTAGAAACACAACTTACAGAGAAGCAAACACAAAAGCAAATGTTGTGACAAGTAGGGATTAAATTGCTTTTCCAGTTTTGATTCCATTTTGAGAAGTCACAAGGCACGTGCTGCAATAATTATTGCAATTAACAGTTTACCATTAGCTCCAAGTTCATTACACATTATTGCTTTAGTACAGCAACTATGCAAGTAACTCAATACAGCAAAGAAAAAACAGTTTTTAAAACAACTGCACGAAAGATATACATTATGTGCAGCCACAGACAAGGGTGTGAAATAAATCCTAGTGCAAAGAAAGAGCCTTACCCTGATGTTGGATCAACAGCTATGGCCTTGGGGTTGTTCAGGTCCAGCTCGATGAGGGTCACACACACTGACCCGTTCTGGCTGCAGACAAAGATCCTGTCACTGACATCATCCACAAAGTAAAAATTCCCCGTGATCCAGTCCATTGCTATTTGCTGTACATCTGCCAAAAAAAAAATAGGAAGAAAAGAAAGAAGAAGGAGCTCAGGAGTGCAGTTTCAATCTGAGGAAAGGACTGCTGGCTGCTCTGCCAGCAGCTGCTCCACTCGCTCAAATAGCTCCAGCTGCTTTGCATCTACTCTAAGGTTTCTAATAAGGAACCCAATTCTCAGTACACAAATAGGGTTTGGGGAGGATTTTTCCTTTTTAAGTACAGACATCTGATGGCAGCCTCAGTGGTATGAAAGATACACATTTGTTTTGAGCTCTGTTAAGTATTTTTAAGTCTGTCCTTGTGGTTTTTTTATGGTATCCTCAGAAGCAGCACCACTGAATGATGGTACACCTGTGGAACACTGATGGTACCAGATTGCTGGGGGAAGGCAGCTCTGAAGCCACTCATACTCTGAATTTAGTTCTAGGATGTCTGTTAGACCCTAGGGATGGAAAATTGGTAAAGGGTAAAAGAGTTTGTTGGTTATATTTGAAAAGGACAAAAGCAGACCAGAAATACTTAACAGAAAGAAAAGACCCTGTGATATGCACATCTGAAAACCCCTTATCTCTGCATCCATTTTCATTTAAAATACTTTTATCTTGTAGTTCTGCGGTATCTGGATGATGCCAAATATCTGATAATTGCCACAAGCAGTAGCATTGAAGTAAATTTTTCTGTGATAACATAGACATTCACTAACCACCAAGTTTTCCTTCTCAGGATGTTGTGGCAGCTTCAGAGTGCCCTGACACAACTGCTCTCTCAGTTCTTTTCCTTGTGGAATCCTGGAACCACACACTTGGTTTATAATTATATATATATATATAATATGGTTTATAATTATAATAAACCCTTGATTTATAAATCAACTGACCTTCCCATACACCATCTTACTGTTCTAGTGGACAAAAGTACAGAGAAGTGCAAAGAACATGACCTTATCAATTTTATTTAACTAAGATTTCTTTTCTTCCTCTTCTTATTCACAATACTGTATTGATACAACTTTATAGGACAGAATTAGGTATCCTTTAATAAATAATACCTCAATTAATAGAAAAAAAAATATTTCCTGTTAAATGTTTTCAATGATCAATATGATTTTTTATTTTAAAAAAATAAATATGTTTATTATATTACAGTGCTTTCAAAATAGTGCTAACATAAGCTGAGATTCTGTCTTGATGAGAGAAACCAGATGTGATAAAATATTGCACATGGTAGGTCTTTTTTTTTGGTTTTTTTTAAGTTTTCTGTATGCTTAGAATCCTTCAGATGGGGGATTTTTAGGTTTGCTTTTCACAATCCAATAAAAAAACTGTTTCCCCCATCACATCCACGCTGCACTGCAGAGTAGTAAGTAAACTTGATTGGACAAAAATTGTATTCATTGAGTTCTTGATGATAACTCAGGGCTTATGAGCCTTGTACTTGCTTAAAATGGACATGGAAGCTCATTTGTTGTCCTTCAAAGTGCAGGTAACTTAAATAAGATTTACTCAGTGAAATACCAGGAACACCAACTGTATCCCACCTCAGCCACCCCATTACACAGCTCAGTGCTGGCTTCTGTCTCTCCCATTCCTGCCCTTCCACTACTCATTTCCCTTTAAATTCAAAGTGAATATTGTGCCTGATGGCTCCTATTACCAAGATCTGCTGAGCCAGAATAAAGAAATGCTCCATTTAGCCCAATATCCAAACTCCAGAGGAGGCCAATGTCAAATGCACTGTGAGATATGTGAGCACTGATATATTTCAGACAATAGGAAGAAAACACTTTTTTTTTCCCCCCCCTCTCTTTTTCCAAGCAAAGTATAGGATGTGTTTTTAAAGTGTCAGAAGAAAACTCTGTGCCTCTGGAAATCAGTAATAGTTAAGGCAGTTTCAACATACCTGCTTACCATTTTCTGAAGTTGGATCCATGGAATGAAAAATTTATGGTTTACTGATTCAGGGAGACTTTTGAAAATTGCAGATAAGCTTCTGTGCAACAGAAGCATTTCAGAAAATATCATTTAAACAGTACAAAAGGTACAAAAGGGATCCAATTTCAAACATTTTTAGAAATAAAACTAGTAATTAAATTCCTGCAATGAGAGGTCTAGAAGATTGCTGTACACTGGGAAGTGGATGAAAAGGAACAAGGTTAAGTAGCAGCCTGTTGGAGGAGGGTATGTTTTTCTTATTGTGTGAAAAATGTACCTATTTTTAGATAAATGTGATATATAAGTGAAAGGCACATCACACACAGGTTATTGGATTCGTTAACATAAAAGAACTTACAGTTATAAAATGTTTGCTCTGTTCCTTCCTTAGATTTTTGGAAACATATCACAAAAAAAATTGCACCAAACAATTTTTAATGGAAACCAAGCATAATCCAAGGTCATATTAGGGATAACCATTTGCATTAGGCAGTTAAAAGCGAGCTCAGCATTGCAGGAAAGCTGAGACATCCAAAAGCAATAGCACAGCATAAACGTTGTGTCAAACAGCATTGGTAGCTCTGAACACTTTATCCATGTTCCCTGCCCAGCAGGATCCCTTGGGAAGGGCAGGGAGCTCCCAGCAGCACAGCCTGTTGGACAGGTTTAGGTTCATTCCAGCTGCATTCCTCCTAAAGCTGTTCTTCCCAGAGCATGCCATGTTTCCTGACTTTTATCAGAGTTTCCAGAAAAAGCAACACATGAATTCACAGTAATTCCCTTCAGGAGAGCAGACTTCCTTAGAGAGATGTCCTGCAAAGAGCACTTCCCAGCAGCCCATCAGTGCTGAGCCCATTTGTGAGCTGTAAACACCCTGGATCTGCTCTGAGCTTTGTCTCTGTTCTGTTCTCTCTGCATTGGACACATTCCCCTTCTCACAACACAGGCTTAGAAAGAATTGCCCAAGCCCACTCCCCCACCAAATTAAATTGTACATGAGAAATCCCCTTTGGCTGGCAGATAATGGGTTTTGAGAATCCCATTTTTGTCTCCATGGTTTGGTAGCAGCTCTGTGTGAAGCTGCAAACCACTGTAAACCACAGAGATAAGGCTCTGGTTGAACTGGAGACTTTTAATATATATATATATATTTAACTTCTTGGACTCAAGGAGTTACTGAATTCATTTCATGCCTATTTCTGGACTCATATACAAAGCCCACTATGTACAGATGTCTGGTCCACTCACATCTTTAAAGTAATTAATCTTTTTTTCTTTCATTCACATGGTTTCAGAAGCCTCTAAAAAGAACTTTCTCTCCTTAAAAACACACATATTTATTCTGAGCAATATTCTGTATAGTTCTGAGGGCTTTCCCAATATTAATAACAGTTTCCTTGGAGCATTTCTGCCAAATGTTATCATCTTTCCTTTATTACTTTCTAAAAACTAGGATTTCCTCTTAAGGACTTCATAAAGAATAGTTAAGACAGCATATAGGTTAAATTCTGCTCTACTTAATGACATTATGTAGACTGTGGGCACAGCAAAAGTGTGTCTGGAAGTGAACTTTTCCTGTCTTTTAAACACACAGACATTATTAGACCTTTAGAGAAAATAATAATTTCATGAGGGTGGCTAAATCTTCAAAGGGTCCTGGAAATATATCTTATGGCCAAACCATAGTTTATGGAAATCAGAGAAGAATAGAATGTCTCTCTTTTTTCACTTTGATTTTCTAACATATATCTTGTAGCATATGAATTATTAGATTTATTTCCATTTCAAATCAAGACTAGCACAAGTCTTCAGATCTTCAGCAGAAGAGAGGGAAAAGCAGTGACATATTCTTGTATTTCTGTTAGTGCTGTAATCAAGGATTCTGCCCATTCACTATCTATTAAAATCAGAATTATATAAACAGATTTCATTTTTTCCCAGATGTAGAGGAAAAAAAAATAAAAATTGGTAAGCTTTTTTCTGTTAAAAGCTTCAGTATAAACATTCCTTACTTTTAATGTAAGAACTGATCTGAGCAAACTACTCAGTGGAATTCTTGAGATGTTGGAGTGTTTTTGAGAAACTTCTGAGTGAACTGGGGAATGATTTTGGATGAAATGTGATTAAAATTTAAAATATTCCTGGAACTCTCCATATGTTTCTTGTCAATGATGAAAGACATAGACCATTTCTGACTATTTTAAGGAAAAGAACTTAGCTTCTACTGCCTTATATAGTAAATTTTCCCTCATTGTGGACATTACTGCAATGAAAACTTCCTCATATATGCATATATAAATCAGTATTGCTTGAATATTTAGATTTTCCCCATATTAATATATTTATAAAATATATATTTGAAAGTGCTTAAAACTTACTTTTTGGACAGAAATGCCTTGTTTGGGTTTTTTTGTGGGTTTTGCTTGATTTGGTTTTAACTTTATTTTTTAATTTGTTTTTGTTTGCTGTAATTTTTTCTCTTTTGCAAAAATTGATCTTAAAGGAAAAATTATTTTGATTAAATTAATAATTTTTATTCTCTAACCCTTATATCTCCTTTCTCAATGCAATGTCCAAACTGGCATTGCCAGACTTAGTTTAATTTATTTATCCAGTTAGAAAGAATAAAAGAGATAAAATTACGTATTTATCAAGGGACACACAAATTTTATTGTAAAGAAAAGCAGAAAGCCAGGTGGGAATAGACTTTTTGCCTCCACTGAGTAAAAAGCCAAGTTTGGGACAAGACAAGGAGCACCAAGTTTTTTTGTTGTTTTGTTTTTCTCCAATAGCCAGTGATGGTGAGAGCAGGTAAGAAGTGTTAAAAGCCATAAATGACAAGCTGGGAAATTCCTGCAGCAGCACTGCCTTTGCTGTGCCTCTCTTCTGACATCAATGTTGCTAATTAGCAGCCCAGGCAGCCTTGTACTGACTCTGTGCCTTGGGAAAGTGAAGCTGGAATGGATTTTCTCTCTGCTCCTTCTACTACCAAGAATTTGCCATAATTCTGTCTGCAATGCCACTTAAAAAAATATGATTTTTATTAAAGATGTCACCATTCAATAAGTCAGACACACT